GGCTTCCTCAGCCGTACTTTCTCTATAAAAGAGACTGGCTTGTTTCATCAGCTGCGTTCTCATTCCTGAGTGAGCCGAATGTAAAATGTGCTCCGTCTAGCTGAGGATTAACTCGTACTCAGACGTTGTCAAACACACATTGTGCAGGAATGTTCTAGCATCTGACATCTAAAAGACTTTTACCTGTATTACTCTGTACCCTGTACTTTACATTAGATCATTTAAAGGTTATTAATAAAATATCTGTTTCGGCACATTTTAAAGGTCTATAATTGTGTGCAAAAGCAGGACAGTGGAAGTTTACACGTCTCTGGTTTGGTGTGTGTGCCTGTTCTGTACAGAAATACATTTGTAAAATACACACTTGGCATCAAGACACAACAGCGTCACTCCAGAGTTTGGACTATATAAAAGTCTTTCTTTAAAGGTTCTGTTGAAGAAAACATAGAAACATGCTTATAGCAGCCGTTACACATGCAGTTAAAAATCTTTGAAATGAACTCAACTTTGCATATAACTTTGGCAAGGGAGGAAACATGTGTTCTGCTAGTTTTATCATTCAACACTCTACCCTTGATTTAACACGTTAAAAAATTGTTCTTTTACATAAAAAAAAATCTTTTTTATTTATGTCACTGCACGAAAAGAGCAACAGACAACAAACAAACCCACAAGTCAAAAGAGAAGCAAATGAGAATAAAGGTTGCATAATTCAATTCACACTAACAGAAAGAGAAGCAGATTCTGGAGAGTGGTGGACTGTCGGAAGAACCAGCCCGCCTTCATCTCTTACAGTGAAAGTGCAGGACTCAAGGGACTGTGTCACCACAGAAAGGCTTGGGTCACTAGTGGGCCATTCCCATCTGTACTGGGTCGGCCCGGGCCGGATAGCCCCAGTCGGCCCCAGCCTGGCCCGGTTGAATCCACACATCCTTGCCTTCAGCCCATGTGGGCTGATTCTACCCACCAATCAGAGGCTTGCTCTAATGGAAGGTGTGAATTTGCTGTCAGCAGTGGGTGTGTTGGCCCTGGTCGGCCTGAAGCAGACCCCCTCGAGAAGAGGGCTGAGAATGAGCCTAGGTTGGCCCGGAAAAATACCAGGCCACCCAGATATGTAAACAACCTACGCTACCCGGCCCGGGCCGACCCGGTACAGATGGGAATGGCCCATAACATACGCTGATAAACTGAAGCAGAGACACAGTTACGGTGTCGGTACAAGATCTGCTTGGGTGCAAGATCGGCTCGGGGTCCGTCGACTGCCGATGACGTCAAAGTAGTTGGTTGGCTGAACATGAACCTCACGGAATTACGTAATCACGTTACGTTGTTATCACGTTACGTTGGTCCAGGCAAATCTTTCTGTTGGAAAGATGGACAACTTTTACAAAGAAATCCATCATTACCTCTTTGAAAATACACTTTTAGCATAGAGCTGCATGTATATTAGGCCTGAACGATTAACTGCATGTGCAATTAAATTGCGATGTGACAAAAGGAGATTTTCTAATCGCAAAGGCTGCAATTTGGCAGCGAGTGGTTAGCGCAATGCTAATATACATGGAAAAACCCATAGGAATGCTAATGCTAATATCACCGGTTACATTATTACAAATTATGAATTAGAAACGTCCCAAATGATTACATTTGGAGTCTAATAGAATGTAAAACTACCATCAATCAAATAAGTACAGACAGGTATTTTAGTAAAGCCAGAAAACTTTTAACTCCGGAGTTTTGGCTAGCAGCTATGAGCGTACCTGAACTACTCATGGACAAGACGTCAAAAACTCTAAACACAAAATACTTCAATAAACGGGACACACTTCTTTCCTGCAAATACTATTTCACAGGTGTTGCTAATACCTATGATCCTTCAAGGGATGTGCTCAAAGAGGAGTTCAACATTATGAATAAAATATAGTGTTTTATTCTACAAATACCATTATAAACACAAACTTACATCTTTAGAAACATTATTTTAATAACGAAACTGCTAAATTCTTTCCAACAGTATAGATGTGTAGTGTATTTTGTCCGAGTGGGTTTGCCGTACTTTGACGTCATCGGCAGTCGAAGGACCCCGAGCCGATCTTGCACCCGAGCAGATCCTGTACCGACACCGGCCCTCTGTCTCCAAAGCCTGTGTCTAATGGGCTCGACACACGGGAGGCGACATCGCCTCTCCTCCATTCATTTTCAATGAGACATGCGCGACAAAGCGATAATCGCGGGTCTCCCTCCTACTCAGCGAAACGTGAAAAATGTGCGTGTGAAATTTTGCACTCGTGCACGTGTCGTGCACAGGCGACCCAGCGACGCGATCCCAGAAAGTTTAGACATTTTCAACTTTTCATCGCTGTCGCTCGGACGAGGACCAATCAACGGAGGTTTCGTTCACTGACCAATGAGCGGACAGGATGCTCCGTACACCTCCGAGCAAACATGGAGGAGCAGTTGATTATTATTATGTTTTATAGTAAAATCAGAAGTAAGATTTCACATAACTCTAGCAGCACCTTGTGAAACATCATATCTACCGCTTTATTAACTCTGAACCGCTTCGATAACCTTAATTCCCTCCAACCTGACACAGCCAATCAAAACAACAGAAGTTTCGATTTCTCCATGGAACAGAACGTGTAGACGGCTTTGCCGCTGGCCGCTGCCGCGGGTCGCCTCCCGTGTGTCAGGTAATAAAAGCGACAGCGACGAATTTCGTTGATCGCGGTCGTTTGTCGCCTCCCGTGTGTCGAGCCCATAATGGGCAGTGAAAATGGTACTGAAACCAGTGGTGAGCTGTACTCTGTGCAGATTAGAGCTGTGTAGGAAGTGACTCCAGCAGGAGCCAGAAACAGCACAGGACACTGGCTTGGCTTTTAAGCCCAAGGTCAACATTTAAGCTTCCCCTTGAAGCACAGAAAGTAATGGGTAACTCTTGCTTTATTATTAGACATTATGGCATGTCTTGTCAGGGACGTTGCCCTTCGTAGTCTATGCAGAGGGACGCACCCATCCCACTGAGCTTCATAAACATTCTCAGAGGAAAGCTGGAGATTATCACCTGCAGGAATCCAGGCGATTATGACAGCGGGCGAGAACCAAGTCTGCAGCTGTGAGCCGGTGTTGCAGCTAAGATAGACATTTGTGACTTCAGTGAGTCTATAGTGCATGTTATATCACAGGTCAGAGACCAAATCAAGAACATTAAAAATGTTTGTGCATCAAAAATCCTTTTATTTACTGCTGATTAATAATAGTGACGCTTATTCGCTGTTATGTGATTTTATACCTTTTCACATGTTGCCCTGTTTTTTTACCACTTCAGCTCAATTTTTGGTTCTAATGCAGACTAGAACACATTAGACCGGCCCACGTTTAGAACCTTCACAAAGACCGATGTGAAAGGTCATTTCAGAACATTTTTTATGTTTAATCAAGAATAAAATCAGTCAATTCTATCAAATGATTTTTGAACCAGCTGTCATTAAAGTAAAAACCAAAAGTAGCTTTACTAGTTTGATTCTTGTGGGTTTTGTCTCCTGAGTGTCATTCCTGTAAACACTTTCTGATATACAAAGCATCTCCTCTTGCAGGATTCCCAAAGGTTCTGCATGTTTGACAATCCATTGTTCTGATTGTTGACCTTCTGAACTGTTGCCATATCTAGTTTTCAGGCTCACAACACCTTTGTCCTAAATCATGCATTAGTGCATCTAAGTGAGAGTCTGAAAGCACAATTTTTGTCCCAATAGGTCTTCCTGCAGTCTGCCACTCTTCTTCTCATCGGCAGTAATCACAGTGCACCACACTCTTTAGCAATCTCCATATTTTCCTCTTTTTCAAGTCATTCTCTTATTTTTTCCTCTTATAACGCATGCATGCTGAAGTCAAGAACAAAATGCAGAATGAATCCACTGAGATTCACGGACACCACTGTCCCTAGAGAGGAACCGCTCATCATTCAAGAAACACAGCGCTGTGTAAACATGCCCCAGGGCTCACAGACCCAAAGTGCCTGACGGTGTGCAGCTGATATGGACAGAAATCAAGGCTCTGCACAGGAAACACGCTACAGATGTTGTGCAACAGCTGCATTGATTTCAAACTGCAGCCAGTTCCCTTCAGGTTAAATAATTGTGAATTTAAATAAAAACAGTATCAGCTGCACATCCTCTCAGATCTCAACTACAAAGCCCCCGCACCCCCCCCCCCCAACACACACACTTCAGTAATCAGTCCAACTGGTGAGAAAAGTTTCACACTAAACAAACAAACACAAAGAATAAGACAGTTTCTACATAAAAAAACACGAATTCTTCCTCAGGCTGCTTGCAACGATAAATAAATCGATTTGGATAAATTCTAGATGAATAAACCGTTTTATTACCATGTGCTCTAAGTTACCGTTCCACTGGCCTGGATGGCGCCATGGCTTCTCCAAAAACAAAAAGTGATGTTTGAAATGTCGGTTTGAGTCTCAGCCCTGAAGGCGCAGTGGGGGTTGGTTTGTGTTCGAGGAGAAGATTAAACGAACTGTTCTCAAAAGTCTATGCTGCACAAGAGCAGAAGAAGTCATTTGTGTCGCTCCTCCATCGACCCAGCTGCCCGCTGTGGAGCTGGGGGGGGGGGGGGGGGGTGTTTATGGGTGCTCCTAGCTGTGTTTGTGTTGAGATCGTCTGGAGACAAAATCTTAAACATCGTCCGTCTTCTCTCCCGGGTTGGCTCAGGTCGATGTTCCAGTGAAGGCAAGACACGATGTTCAGAGGCAGCTCTTTTTGATTGTTAATCACAGATGAAGTCAAGTGGGAACAGAAAGCATTTCCTCTCTCCTCTACTTGGCCTCTCGTCTCATTTGTCCTCCTGGAGTTGGACGCTGTCCTTGTGTGTCCTCTTGCACCCAAACATGTCTTCATCCGGACAGTTGTTCCGTTACTCTTGTACTGATGTTGCTGTTCATTCTCCCTGCCCCCCCCCCCCCCCCCCCGCTCTCAACACACACACACACACACACACACACACACACACACACACACACGAGTTGACAAAGTCCAGAAGAAAAGCACCATTGGATGCATCAAACGTCTCTGTTCTTTTTCCTGGAGAACAAAAAACGTTTTTCTTTATTGTCTCTTCCTCTCCAGTTCTTCCCAATCTTGTCTCATGATGGTTCTCATCTCAGAGAGAGGAGGTAATTAGTTTTTTTTAATTACCCCAAAAAAAACAAGACATATAAAATGGCAGGACATCACCTCATCAGATCTCTGTGTTATGTTCTCTCTTTGTCTCCTCTTCAGTTTCAAAGCTGCAGACCGTTTGTCTTTTACATTCTGTTGAATCCTGTCATCACAGAGGAAAGGTCAACTTACCTGACCCATTCCCTTACAAAATATAAATCATAAATATTCATTCTCTTTCTTGGAGATTCATCCAACTCCTCCTTTTTCCTTGTAGTCTTTATCAAACGTAGGCTGATTCACTGGACTGAGTGCGTCCCAAGTTGGGCGGCTGGGACAGATGTGCCATGTCCTTTTTCCTGATCTCGCAGATGGACTTCCTGCGGGCCTGGACACCCCTGATGGCGGCCTTGATCTTGCGCCAGCCCAGGTGGTTGAGCTCAGCCAGGTTGAGCACCACGCAGATACCACTAACTGCAAACATGAACACCAAGAAAACTGTTTTTTCTGTGGGCCGAGACACGTAGCACTCCACCTCCTTGAGACAGGGGTAGCGGTCACACTCAAAAATCCCAGGCACGCTGAAGCCGTAAAGGAAGTACTGGCCCGCCAAAAATCCGATCTCCAGAGCATTTCGAAACACCACCTGAATGATGTAAAAGCGGGAAATCCCTTCTTGCCGTCGAACCTTGGAACTCTTCCCGTGGGTAAGGCCCCGAGGAGCATTGGGGATCTCCTTCACTTCCAAGCAGTCGGGCTCTTCCTTCCCACTCACCCCATCCCCACCGTGCTGAACTAGAATTCCGTTTATGTTCCGAATCTTTCTAGCCCCATCCCGTCCTCCATAGTCCTTCTCCATAATGGGATAAAGGAAAGAGTAACGCCGGTCCCTCTGCTTGGCCGACTGATGGACAGAGTAGGTGATAAAGCAGAGACTGGGCGTGCACACCAGTATAATCTGGAACACCCAGTAGCGAATGTGAGAGATTGGGAAGGCTTTGTCGTAGCAGGCCTGGTTGCAGCCTGGCTGTAGAGTGTTACATATGAACATGGTTTGCTCGTCCTCGTACACCGTCTCTCCAACGATGGCCACAATAAGGATTCGGAAGATCACCACGACCGTCAACAAGATCCTAAAGGGAGAAACACATGGAGTTGTGTGTTAGTGGATCCACAAATCGTGATATAGACGAGGAACTGTTACACATTTCACATAAACTGTAACAAAATAAAAGTTTGTCAAGTAAGTGAATGAAAAAACACAGCAGGATAATTATTTAACAGCAGTCTCTGAATTTTCAGACACCCCGTTTTTCAATACCCAAGGACGCTAGTACGCTCTTGTGTACTTGTCAGGTATATTCATGGCTAGTACAGCAGAAAGTCCGTTCTACCGAGTACGGGAGTACGAGGATGGCATTTGGAAGAGAGCCATACTCCGCTGTGTCATGGAAACTAGCGCTGCTACGGTGAACATTAAACAACCTGACATGCAATCCAAAGGGTTCAAATGAGGGCAACTGGACTTCTTGAAGACGTTTTGCTTCTTTTCCAAAGAGCTTTGTCAGTTCTAACAGGAATATGAGAGTCCAGCTTATAAACTGTAGCTGCCTGTTGTTTTTTAACGAGCCGTCGTCATTTTGATAGGAGATTAGCTAAATAGCATTTTGAGGGATTTGGAACAGTACTAGGGCCAGCATTGATGACGTTTTACAAGGACACACGAACACAAGTTCAGACGAGTACATATATTGAGAAACTGCCACAGCAGTTCTGTAGGGAGCCATCTTGGCTGTTAGGAAGAGAATCCATTCATAAAAAATGTTTCGCAAACAATGTCTTACATACGTAAAACACCCAGAGAGAGTTGAGAAATTGGAGAGAAACTGTGTGAACAGAAAGAGAAAGAGCTCATAGCTATGATTATGTCAGAGCAAACGGCTAACACCATTAGCAGTGACCATTAGCACTACTCAGCGTGACTTGGATGGGTGCAGTTCGGTTTGACAGCCTCTTCCAACAACTTGGTTTGGTATTTTCCCCCAACTCTTCAGTACCTGCTTTGTTGTGTCTGGTGGCCTTAAACTCTCCTGTAACATCATCAAACCTCTGATGTCCTCTGGGCTCATTCTAGACATGCTAGCTCCTTTTAAATCAAATTATCGCTGGTTTGGATCAACAAAAAATAAACAAACATGTTCCAGTTATAAAATGAGGTATCAGTCATAGTTGAAATCAACTCAAAGGCCTGAACCAATCCTTTGATTAAACTGCATGAATTTAATTAAATCCTCAACTGATGCATGAAGTGTTTGGCTGTTGTTTAGCTCTGTTAGGGTTAGGGCTTGTTTAGCTGAATGCTATCTAATATTTAGCATAATCAGGAATTCTGTTGTGTGTTTTATGGAATTATCATACCATAGCACTTTGTTTATCAAGCGCATTTCAATACAGCATGAGAGCCGACCAAAGCGCCTTACAAACCGTACAGAAAGCAGTACTAAAACATACATCATATCATAAAACACAGCTAGGGGTAAAACATGTAAAACTGCCAAAATGGCTATTCTAAAATGAATTCAACATAATGAAAAATATTAATAAAAACAACTAAAAGTAATCATTTAACAAGAAACAAGTCAAGACGTAAAAGCCAAGTCATAAGAATGTGTTTTCAGTCATGACTTGAAGGCCGCAAGATGTCGACTGATGGATCGTAAAAGGTACAGCATTCCACAGAACAGGTGCCACATGTACAGGACCACACTCCCGCCTCATTTTATAGCTCACTGGGGGGCGGGGGGGGGGGGGGGGGGTGCATTGCAACATGGGGTCTACCGACCTCAGTGAGTGCATTGGTCAGCCAGGTATGTTGGTGCCATGCCATTTAGTGCTTTCAAAACAAAAACCAAACCCTAAACAGGACAGGGAGCCAGTGCAGACTCATCAGAATTGGTGTCACATGAGTTCGCCGACTTGTGTTGGTCAAAAACCCTGCTGCTTAATTTTGGATCAACTGCAGCCTGTTTAAGGCCGAGGCAGGCACGCCGACAAGTAGTGAGTTAGCATAGTCCGACCGGGATGGAATGAAGGCATGAATCTCTGACTCCAAATGCTCTCGTTTCTATATTGATTTCACATTGAATTGTGACAGACATGAGAATGGTGGCATCAACAAGTCAACTCCATGCTGTGATTTTGTTCTCAGGAACTGAACAAGGTTGATTCACTGTGCTGATTGAAATCACCTGGTTTAGTTGCTGAACTGAATAATACCAGCAAGGAGATGATACCGCAATTCCCCATCTCTGAATTATTAATAATATTATTGAACTATAGAACAATAAATGTAGAATACAAGCAAAAACAAAAGCTACATACTAAAGAAGAGTTGATACTGCAGTTAGGTGTTGCTATGCAAACACATGAACAAGTAGAATAAGACAGTAAATTTAATTCAATTCAAGTTTATTTATAAAGCGCCAAATCATGACAAGAGTTGTCTCAAGGCACTTCACATAGTAAACATTCCAATCCAGGTCAGTTCATTAAGCCAATCAGAAAAACGTTCCCTAGGTGTGTGTGTCCTCCAAACACACCCACATCACCCCGCTTCTCCTCCAGCTTCACTGGCTACCAGTAAACTTCAGGGTTCATTTCAAGATCCTGGCTTTGGTCTGTAGGGCTTTACATGGACAAGCACCATCATATATTGGTGATCTTCTTAGTGCCTACACCCCCAGCAGGTCCCTGAAGTCCAGTGACCAAAGCCTACTGGTTGTGCAGCACCACACTGTCAAAGGTGACATACTGTGGCCCCCAGACTCTGGACATCTCTCCCCCTGAGCCTGAGATCAGTGGACTCAGTGGTCTCCTTTAAAAAGCAGCTGAAGACTCACCTGTTCAGGCTTTGGTGTGACCTTCATCACCCTCTCCTTGTTCTGCTCTTATTCTGCCTTTCTCAGGAACCACTCATTTCCCTCTTTCCTGTTCATTTTCTCTCTCCATTTTCTTACATTATTTTTCTTTTCAACTTTTAAACATATTTTTAGTCATTTCTGAAATATTTTTATACTTTAAAGTTATTTTTTGTGAAGTGTCTCATGATTTTTATCTTGAGAGGATCTATATAAAAGATCGTCTTCTTCTTCTTATATAAGGAACCCAGCAAATTGCATCAAATCACTGACTAGAGTCAGAGTCTTTACAGCAATCCTCATACTGAGCAAGCATGCAGCGACAGTAGAGAGAAAAACTCCCTTTTAACTGGAAGAAACCTCCAGAGAATCCTGGCTCAGTATAAGCAGCCATCCTCCACGACTCACTGGGGATCGAGAAGACAGAGCGCACACACACACACACACACACACACACACACACACACACACACACACACACACACACGTTACATTGTGATTTCTTAGTAAATATTCTATTTGATGAGAGATAAACTTAATTGTATTTATCCTAGTGAATCTATAATTAAACGGGTAAACTAGTAGTAGCACATTCAATGTCAAAGAGAGTAAAATATTATTATCAGGAGAGGGAGAATGTTTAAGTGGTTAGCAGCAGTGTGCTAGACGATGGCCCCCTCCATGAGGCCACCACAGCTCAGCAGAACATCGTTGTAGCTTCTTCTGGGGAGAAAAACACTTAGAGAGAAAATAAAGTTAACAGCTGAAATTGCAGAAAATAATACAGTTAAAGAGCAGATTGTAGAAGAAAGTAGTAGAGTGTGAAAAGTGGTCAGTGTATCCTCCAGCAGTCTAAGCCTATAGCAGCATAACTACAGAGATAACTCTGGATAACCTAGCCTTTTTAGATGGAGGCATGTTGTAGGCAGGGCAAGGGAGAGCCGTCTTTACCGACTGTACACTCCACCTCCCTGTACTCCCCCACTTGTCCAGATCTGGGCTAACATCAGATTTTAACCATAGGCCCTATCAAATAAAAATGTTTTAAGCATATTCTTAAAAGTAGACAAAGTGTCTGCCTCACGGACTAAAGCTGGGAGCTGGTTCCACAGGAGAGGAGCCTGATAACTAAAAGATCTGCCTCCCATCCTATTTTTAGATATTCTGGGAGCCACTAGTAGACCTGCAGTCTGAGAGCGAAGTGCTCGGTTAGGAACATATGGAACAATCAGATCACTGATGTATGATGGAGCTTGATTATTAAGAGCTTTATATGTGAGAAGAAGGATCTTAAAATCTATTCTGAATTTAACAGGTAACCAATGTAGGGAAGCTAAGACAGGAGAGATATGATCTCTCTTTTTAATTCTCATCAGAACTCTAGCTGCAGCATTTTGGACAAGCTGAAGACTTTTAACTACATTCTGTGGACTTCCTGAGAATCATGAATTACAGTAATCCAATCCTGATGTAAGAAATATAGAATTATTCTTACAATGAGAGCCAAATAGTCTTCAGGAAGGGGCTTTTAAGACAAGGTAAAGAGGGAGGCAGAAGGAAAAAAAGCCTGGATTTGTCAGAAAGAGGGACGTTGTGTCACTGGTAAGTCACTGTTACTCCTGATAAGGAACAGAGGAGGCCCACAAATCTCATTCATCAGCCAGAGTAAACACTCCAGAAGAAGAACAGTTATGAGTGCTCAGGTCCAACGGGTTGGAAGTCCTCATAACTTCAGTCTCTTATGTGATTCTCAGAAAGAGAGTTCACAAATATAACCGGGTGATGATGTTTTTCTCTACATCACTGAATCGGTTGGCAAGGCAACCATGGTCTAGGGTCACTACAGTCACTACAGGGTTAAAGTGTGAGCAGATAAGTAGTCAAATACAAACTCTGAACTTATGCTTGTAGCAACAGATGAGTCAGGTGACACTTGTCGGCCGATTACTTCCTATTTTTGTGTGAGGAGATGAAGAGTTTACTGCTGCAAAAACAGTTCACTTCAGTACAGTGTGTGTGTGTGTGTGTGTGTGTGTGTGTGTGTGTGTGTGTGTGTGTGTGTGTGTGTGTGTGTGTGTGTGTGTGTGTGTGTGTGTTACATGCTCTGACATTGCATTCCTGCACATTTTCTGTGTGCTTCTGTGATGTTAGACTTACTAAGTAGATAGACTACCGTTTTATCTTCCTTCCCTTTCGCTGTTTTGTCTCCTGCAGAC